ATTTTACAGCTCTCAAAATAATAATAATAATAATAATAAACAGGTTAGTTTCACCATTTTTTATCTATTCAGCCAATCTCTGGGTCTAGCAAAAGCACTTTTAGCTTAGCTTAGCATAGATCATTGAATCGGATTAGACTATTAGCATCCACTTTTTTGTAAATAGTCTCATTTTATAGCTCTTATAAAAATAAACAGGCTATTTCCACCAGTTTTAATCCATTCATTTAATCCATCTCTAAGTCTTACAGAAACATTTTTACCTTAGCTTAGCATAGATCATTCAATTGAATTAGACCATTGGCATCCATTTTTTAGTAAATAGTTTAGTAAATAAAGATGCATCATACACATGGTTACGCTAGCAGACAGTCACATTGGGTCTCTCTAAATGAGTATTAGATTAATAGTTGAATAAACACACACAGGGGCGACGCAGTGGGCAGCACGTTCACCTCACAGCACTCAGGTCACTGGTTTGAGTCCCGGCTGGGTCAGTTGGTGTTTCTGTGTGGAGTTTGCATGTTCTCCCCGTGTTGGTGTGGGTTTCCTCCGGGTGCTCCGGTTTCCCCCACAGTCCAAACACATGCGCTATAGGGGAACTGGGTAGGCTAAATTGTCTGTAGTGTATGGGTGTGAATGAGTGTGTATGGGTGTTTCCCAGAGATGGGTTGCAGATGGAAGGGCATCCACTGCATGAAACATATGCTGGATAAGTTGGCGGTTCATTCCGCTGTGGTGACCCCGGATTAATAAAGGGACTAAACACACACATTCAATAACAATGAAAACAGAACTGTGTTCTGCAGTAGCCTAAATAAATATTAAACAAGCTTTTACATGAGTGTGTCTGCAGATATAGCCTAATATACACTGTTCTTATCCGCTTGTTAAGTGTGACGTCACGTGAAGCGGCTTCCGGGTCCAAGCGCTCTGTTCAACTGAATGGGGAGACTCATGAAATGGTAATAATAAACGTTTACACAGCGATTTAAGGCTTTCGAAAGTCACGATGGCAGTATATATGTGTCCATGCCTAATATCCGATGGCCAGAAAGTGATTAATTATTTTATAAATTGTTCATTTTTTGGTATTTGTTATGCAGCAAGCCTTGAGATTGTTGTGTACACTACGACTTTATATAAAATTAACTTTAATATGTGATAGGAATAAGACGTGATCATAAACGAATGATTTCTCCACTCAAATGAAACCAGTATACATACATCAAACACATCACCACTTAACAAGCGGATTAAGAAATTATTTTGAAAACCTGCTTATGTTTACGTTTATAACTCCCAAAACACCGGTGATGGGTGACTGGTACAGTATGGCTGTGTTCGGTGCGCTTTTATGCCTGTTAGCACTGTCAAACAAACTTTTTGAGCTGATATTAATATTGTGCGCGTGGTCATTGAAGCGCTCTGATATCCACTCCTGTCAGAAGCGACTCTGTTGAGAGTGAAGCGCAAAAAACAAAGGAGACGCCGGAAAAACAGCAGCGAATGATGCGTCAGCAACCTAAACATGAACACACTGCGCTGTTTAACCATGATCATCACCATATGTGTGGCGCTGTCTCTGATCTGCAGTCATCATCAGATCATGCTGATCGTGAGGTCAGTAATCAACATGTATACAGTATTGATGTGTGTGAAGCATCGGTGTTGTGAGAAGTGCTGCTCGTATGATATGTGAGCGACCCGTGCAGCTTTACTGTGACATTTCCTTCATCGAGAGTCATGGCCACTGAACTTTCTGTCGTGCATTACGCCCACCAGGATACCCTTTTGACAGTGGAAACACAAGCCTGATGAAGGTGACCCAAACCCACCCGTACCAGACAGTGGAAACGGGCCATTATGTGAATGTGTAAATGATAAATCATGAACAATATCTGATTATTGAACTGCATTTTTCAGCAGCAGGAGCGCAAGAAAACAAGAAAGACCCCCACTTCATTTCCTCCAGAAGAAACGAGGGTAAAAACTGCGAGTCATTCTCCTTCAGACCGCTGTACATTCCTTTACAGGAGAATTTTATTGATTTGTTTTACAATTATTGATTTTGCTTTACTTTAAAAATGTAATAATAAAATAAAGTTGCAAATTCTGTTCTATTTGTTTTGTTTTTCATTAAAAAATTAAATAAAAAACACTATTAAAAGTACCGGTAAGAGAACCGTTTAACCTGTTAAACTCTGCTGCTATTTTGGGATTTCCGCCTGGATTTTGCCAACCCAAATTCAAAAGCTTCCCAAATCCACATGCAGAAGTGTAAATGCAAATATGTGGCATTATGTTAAAGAAAACCCTTTGAATTTTCATAAAACACTACTGGAAGTGTTTAAAATATCTGTATCTGTTGTCTGTGTTATAATAAACACCTAATAAAAGAGGCGCTTTTTGTATTTTTTTATAAACTCAAATGTGAAAGTGGACCTTTCAGGTTGTGTGTGGTCTAGCGTGCTGTAATTAATGTTGGTGGCTCCTGCACATGTCTGTAATCATAGGAAAAAGGAAAATGTCTCCACCATAATCTATGCAGAAGTTATTGTATTCCAACTGATGAGAGGTGCTGTGCAAGCCACAGGGAGCGATCATTGTGTTCATATTTCACTATTCTTTTGTTTGATTAAACATAATTCACTGTGTTTGGAGCACATCAGACATATAAAAGCATTACTTATGCACATCAGCTCAAAAACAGAGGAGAATGGCCCTGAAGCGCACAGCATAAGGTAAGAGATGAGCTGTCTGTGCTATCTGGGGCTGCTTATTGATCATAAATGTATTGTTTTCACTTCTGCGCCATGAAAACACCGAGATTCATTCAGCAACTGATTGATATGTGAATATAATTCAGTAAACAGAACGCTAGAACCGTATGAGCACCGGCAAGAGCTTTCATTTGAGCTATAACTTGTACATGTGTCATATGAGAAATATGAAAATAAACCAATGCTCAATACCCAGCTCGGGTATCCAAAATACTGTGTGTTTAAGTGTAAATAACTTTTGTACAGTAGAATAAAAACCAAAGTGATGCACATGTGCATAAAATATAGACTCTACACTTTCAAACCAAACCACTTAATTCCCCGCTCTCCCGTGTGAAGCTGATGATGAAGTGACTGAAGCTGCAGTTCATCGGCCGGCCACACGGGGCTGGCTGCAGAACCCATAATGTTTGCAGTGGCATGAGGACCAGATAATGAAGACAGAAGATTAGCTCTTGGTTCAGTTACCACTAAGTTTGACAAGACTAGCTCATGATTTATTGATCTTTATAGATCACTTTAAGACTGAATAATTCATTGCACAGTGTTCTGCATAAAGCACGATCCTCCAGGTAGTGGTCTTCGCATTATTGATTAATGACTTATTATTATTATAAATAATTTTGAATAATATTTGCATTATAAACTTCTTATGCAAATGAACTGTAATAACGGGCTGAACCATTATTGCACATCCCTGGCTAACGTAACATAAGATGTAGATATGCCAGAGATGTAAATATGTGACCCCGTGCGCACACACACACACACACACACACACACACACACACACACACACACACTCACTCTCAGGGCCCAGATTAAGAGGCAAGGGTGAGATGGCGCATTCCAAACACACACACATACACACACACACGCACGCATACACACCCCTGCTCACGTCCACTTAACATAATTCATCCAAACCAAAACAAAGAGGTTTTACATCAAGAAAATCTACTGTCAGTGAACACACTCTACAGAGTGTGTGTGTGTGTGTGTTTATTTAGTGTTTTTGCAGGTGACAGGTGGGCAGCGGGTCGCTCTGGTCACTCGACACACTAATTATAGAGTGTCAGACGACATTTTACGGCCTTAAAGCTGTCAAACACACACACACACACACACACACACACACACACACACACACACACACACACACACACACACACACACACACACACACACACACACACACACCCACACAATCAAGTGTGCGCACACACAAAAACACACAATGTCTTTGAGACACACACACACTGAAGCGCACACACACACACACTTTTTTCTTTCAAATGTAAATAAACTCATCTGTCATTTTGAGTTCATAGCTCAGATTTGCAGAGGGAAAATGCAGAGTTATACAGAGAGCCGTGAGTGTGTGTGTGTGTGTGTGTGTGTGTGTGTGTGTGTGTGTGTGTGTGTGTGTTTGACTCTGCCCTTCCCCAGATCTTTCCTCTGCTGTGTTGATTTTCTGTGGTGTCCGTCAGTGTGTGCGTGTGTGTGTGTGTGTGTGTGTGTGTGTGTGTGTGTGTGTGTGTGTGTGTGAGATGGTGTAGCGCTCCTCTTCTGCTTTACTGACGACACTCAGTGTGTAACATTACCCATGATCCCGTGGGTGGCAGACACCAGATCTGAGTGTGGCGTTGCGAAAGCAGCAGTTCAGACCTGACCTCTGTGTGTGTGTGTGTGTGTAGTAGGAGTTTGTGTGCCTGTATTGATTATCTGAAAGCACAAAATGTCCCCAACAGTGTGTCTGTTGTGTGTGTCTGTGTGTGTGTATGTGTCTTTTTTTGAGTGTGTACGTATATGTTTGTCTTTGTGAACGTGTGCCTGAAATTGTGTGTGTGTGTGTGTCTGACTGACTGTCTGTGTGTGTACATCTATGTGTGTGTGTGTGTGTGTGTGTGTGTACGTACATTCATGTGTGTGTGTGTGTGTGTGTGTGTGTGTGTGTGTACGTACATGCATGTGTGTGTGTGTGTGTGTGTGT